ATCCCTTTTCCGCATCTGTTCCTCTCTCCGGAGCTAACGGGAAAAGGCATTTTTAATCATTTTTTTTCCTCCGCGATGAAAGAAACGAACGAGGTCTCGGTGTCTCTTACTTCGTGGGAGGCGCCGGCGTCGCGTTTGTTTCGGGTGCTGTTTTGAATCGGTGTTCGGGTCATTCTCCGGAAAAGTAAACATGAATGTGACTGCCAATTAACTGCCAAACGCCTTCCTCTCGTCATTACTAAAATATAGTTTGGATACCACATACCACCAGGGTGTACCAAAAACAAATATTTGCAAGTTCTCATAAGTAAGACTATTAAAAAAACAAATAGTTCAGATGGCGTCCTATGTCTAACTTCAGCATTCGTTTTCTATCTGCTAACTGCCACTCAAGTTTCAAAGGCATGAACTTTTGTTTTAGCGGAATAAACTTTTATAAGTTTGATATATATATATATATATATATATATATATATATATATATATATATATATATATATATATATATATATATATACACACACACACACACACACACACACACACACACACACACACACACACACACACACACACACACACACACACACACACACACACACACACATACATACATACATACATACACTAAAAAACGTACACCTACGTTACCTCTAACCTACGATATGATCTCAGCCCCCCAGTGTGGCTAAAATATTTATATTTTGCGAATTTTAAAAAAAGGAACATGTGTGACCAATTTGAGGCTGACTGTCAGTGGTATAACAAAAAATATGCTCAGTTATTATACATATATATAAAAAAAAACTGCCTACCATATTTCGTTTTTAAGTATGCAGATTGTTTAACACGTTTTCAGTAAAGAGATCTATTCACCTATGTTTATATTACCTTATGTATAAATAGAAATAAATGCGTACCTTGTTGATGTGTCAGTGGTGTGACGGATATTTATGTGCTCTTTTTCATAATATCTCGATCAGAAATAACTTACTGACAATACAGACATACGTTCCTGTGGTATTAAAAGTATAAAAATCGAACTGTGCTGTTTTTTTTTTTTTTTTTTCAAAAAATAAATTTGCTCGATTTGTCAGTCGTGTAACGGTCAGTCAGATACCGGTCATTCGTATAACGGTCGTATAACGGTCAGTCCCTTAACGATCAGTCGTGTCGCAAGTCCATCGCAGCACGGGTCAGTCATATGAACTAAACAAAAACATGTGAATCTCCCATTGGTATTTAGCATATAATCGTTCTACTTCATGGCCCATTAGATGTTTTAATGATAGGCACGAAATGCAAGGTTCAATACCCTCTATGCCGCCTGCATCCACCGCGAAAAGCAAAATCGAATGCTTCGGTACGCGGAAAATGTTTTTACTGTATACTTCTTGCGTGATAAACTTATTTTTCAGTTTGTGTAAAAATACTGAATGGTTCATTAAAACGTGGACACGCTCCCAAATAAATAATATTCTGATTTAAAATCAGTTTAATTATTTTCCCAACACGCCAGCTAGCGCAAAAAAAAAAAAAAGAAGAAAAAAACGCTTTTGCAAAAAAGGCAGCCCTCGCAAGAATATTTTCTAATCTAGACGGATAATTTGAGTTTATGGGTGTTATGTATGTTGTTATTGCAAATATAGTAATATTGGAAAATAAATACAAAATGCAATCTGATAAAGCAAAAAAAGAAAAAAAAAAAGGCGTTCTACAGTCTTTGTTGTTAACGATATAAATAAACATCTGGGAGCTCGGCTGTGTTTTCTATGAAAATAACAAATGCAATACATATTGACCGACCTAAGATAAGTAGACTAAAGTCAACGTCGCCAAATTAACTTTTCGTGAACCTAAATGGTTAGTTAATCTTCGGAAGAATGACCCGTTTCGACGGCGTTCGGCACGCGCCTGCGGCCATTCGAGCCGCGAAGTAAGAAATACGATCTTATCGTAAAACGGGACTCGTTCAAGTGTCGTTTGGCTGGGCGCAATGCGTGTCGGTGCCAATTGCGGCAGCACTTGTTTGGATTTCTGGGTGGGAAAGAGATGTAGGTGCGGGGATAGCGAGCACTATTTACGAAGCTCGTTGTTCACTCGTTGTGCGGCGACTCCGTGGTTACGGCGCTGCGTATTTTGACGCTTGTTGGTCGAGAGGAGTTTGTAGACGCAGTTACTGTACGCATCTCTCTCTCTCTCTCTGTGCGTGTGTATTCGCAGCTGGTGATGCCGCTTGAGTTCTGTCGCTGCCGACTTCACATGACCGCCAACACCTCCGAGAAATTGCCTTTTCGCATCGAACAATATTGTTAAGCGAGGAGGTCGCAAAATGTTTTGAAAGTAAACGTGGTTATTAGGGGAGCGAGGTGTTTTATTCGTTTATCTCGCACCTGGCGGCTGTCTACTGACAGACTACTGAAGCCGCTGACAGGAACGCCGGGCTCTCCGCCCTGCACACCTTAGAGAACTTTTCAGGTGTAATAGGCGGGACGAGACGGAACAGGAAAAAAAAAGAGGTTTTGTACTGCTTGTTTTCCCACCTCCCTCTCTTCTTGTATGAAGAGGAATGAAGAAACTTGAACTGACGCGTTGCTCAGCTTGTTTTCCGCACATGGTGTTATTTACGCGTATGTAAACATCGAATAACTTTTATTTCGTGCGAACGCGTTAATTTGTCGCGCAAGACCCGGTTCATGAACTCAGCTTTTCAGGCCTCACAGGCGTGAACACGTCGTCACGACTCACTCGCACCCGCCGAAAAAAAAAAAAAAAAAAAAATGGTCTGTGGTTTTTGCAGCCTATGATAGCGCTTGAGGCGCGACTGTTCAGTCTCCTGGTGAACAGCTCGGCACCACCCTTCGTCACCCCTCCCGTGGCCGGCTTCCTGATTTAACGCCTTCATCGTGGCCGTCCTCGTATAAATACTAGCGTCGTTGATGTCTAGGCGTGCGTAGGCGGAGGGAGGCCTCGCCGTCAGCGCCGCGCTTCGTCCGCTTGGCATCGCGTTCGGCTTCTCTCTCGTCTCGTTGTAAACGCTGGGAACCGACGCTGGGAGTTTAAAAAACATCCGGACTCCGGTCACGGCCCAAACTTCGGGCCGCGAGTGAGGAGGCCACTCGTCTAGCTTGTTTTGTTTGCGCGCGCTGGAGAGAGAGGAAGGGCACGGCAGCGACTTGGGCGGTGCTGCTTGCTTTTCCTTGTGGCATTATTATTCCGCTTTCGAGACTCGGGCACGAAATCACGGAACTGCGGTAAAAAGTCGTCCGAGGGCGCCTGGCGCGCAGTCCGGCATTCCGGGCACGACCGTACACACCGGAGGAGCGTGACGCGCATGCGCAAGTCACCTCACCCTCCCTCTCCGTTATCCTTTATTTTTAATTTATTTTCGAGCGAGCGGCTCGACGCTGCCTGCTCCTCGTCGAGTGTGTTTGTTTCGTTTGGAAGCAGGCAGGCGGATCGGAGAAGCAGCTCCCTGCCAGAAGCAAAAGGAACGACGAGTTTCGAATCGGGAATGGCGGAGGCCGCCGGCAACGCCGATGTCCGCAGTGGCGGCCGCGGGCTGCCGCAGAACGCGCAGCCGGTCCGCCTCAGCGCTGCGACGCTAGTAACGCGGGCGAAAAATTCTGAGACTTGTTCTTGGCCGCTGCATAAAGTAAAGAAATAGAAATTTACGCCGGTCTTGTACCTCTCGACGGGCTCGATTGATATGGTCGATCGAAAACAAACCACGCCGGTTCGGGAGAGGGTCGGCGTACGGCGCTGCGGTGGGGCGTGCGAAGATCGTTAAAGGCAGCGCGGCGGAACGGACAGTGTCCGTCCGCGACGTTTGAAGCCTCGTCGCGGGGGACACGCGGGGAAAGCGGCCGGCGCCGTTATCTCCGCGGCAGGGGCAAACAAACGCGCTGGGAAACCCGCGACGCTCTTCCGTAAATACCGGCGGTGGTCTTTCGGCCGTCCTCGCGTGGATACGGCTGCGTTCTCCCAGACGGGTATATCGAGCCGCGGCTACTGCGGGAGCTCTGTCGGCCGCTCTGCCGTCCGGCGCTTAATTGACTTTGCCCGGTAATTGGCCTCGGGGGCGCTGCTGGAGCGACGGTGGCGAGCGTGTGCGACGCCACTCCACGGCGGGTGCCGCGGGTGTCACCGCGAACCCGTTCGCGGCCCCCTTGGCGCCGAGGGGCCGAGAACAAGGCGGCTCCCGTGTGGGCCTCACTCTCCTTTTCTTTGGGTGCCGATCGCGAGGTCCTTCGCATTTGTCGGCGGTTGGCTCGCTGGCGGTCTCCTTCGCGCGTGCTGAATGCCTGCCGGTTCCAGGGGTGTGGTTTTCTTTCGGTTGCCCTTGATATTGAACAGCGACGACAAACGGTACCGGCGGCGTGTTTGCTAAAGGACGTCGATGAGCACCTTTTGTGATGGAGCCTCGATTTATCAGAATTGTAGAGTCACCGTTTTTAAAGCAGTTTCGCGCTGCCTCCACCGTTTTCTTCTTTTCTTTCTTTTTTTTTTGAGGGGAGGGGGGGGGGGGGGAGGGGTTCTTTAGTGCGGAGGTAATGCAGCCGCAAAGTCATTATAAGAAAATAAACTCCCTAACGCAGTCAAGGCATAATATTGTCGGTTTCGAAAGCCTGAGAGGTCAAATGGGCTTAAATCTCTCTCTCTCTCTCTCTCCGAGTGCTTTGCTCCATTTTGTTTTGTTACTTCGTTGGACCTTTTTTATGATGTGTCAAGCGTGGCTTGCGTTGAATGCCATCAGCTGCCAATTTGATGGCCTCGCTGCGAAATCCGTACCTTCTGCATACTACCAAAATTGCTTTTCTTCACGAAAAAAAAAAAAAAAGAAAAAAGTTGGAGTAATTATTGGCGTGGTGCTACGACGTGACCTGCGATCCACGCTAGTTGATGCACCGCGAGATCCAGTGCCCGTCGTGTAGTGTTCGGTGTCTCGTTCCGCCCCCGCGCTTCCTGCCCGACCCTGACGCAACTGCTCGGTGCCGCAGGTGCGCAAGGGAGTCCGTGTGGCGAGCGACGAGAACTCCCGGCCCCCCGGGCCCGGGGGGCCCGAGCCGCCCCCCGCCGTCAACAGGACCCACCCGAGGAGCGCTTCCAGGGACAGGCTCAGCGACGTGAGTTCTCTCCGCACGATCCTCGCATTCCACCGCTTTCAGTATTGTCGTGTATTCCGTCTCGCGGGTGAAGTTGCGCACAACTCGCCAGCCACTCGTTTGTGCGAGTTTGATGAAGCGCCCGTGGAATCCTCGTCAGAATAGGGATGCCCATGGGGGTATCGAGCCCTCGTGGATATCCCGAGCACAGTCCAGTGCTTCGTTGAGTGTGGGTGTACACTCGACGTTTGCTGCGCGGAGCTCGGAGATAATTGAAGACAGAAAGCTCGAGATGGAGGCAGCAGCATGCATACGTCCGTTCCGTTCTTGAGATGTCAGTTCGTTACTATCACTTGAAACAGAACGCCGTTGAATATTGTCAACCTTCAGGCTTTTCTCTCCGTCATTTCTGTCACAATCTCGGTATTTCTTTTTGGGGAAACATAAATGTAGCCTTTTTCCTTTTCTTTTTTTAATCTGACTTTATCTTTTTTTTTTTTTTTTTTCTTTTTTTTTTTCTCCTCTGTGCTTGATTTGATCGTATAATTTTTGGTTTACAACGACGTCGGGACTCGAGTTCGCCATTAAATTTCCGCCCGATGGCCCGTTCCGGAGTGAAGCAATTGCGGCGCTCCTAATTGAATCTTCTCTCTGTGCTCTTCTCGAATGTTTCGCGGAGGCAAATTTCGCGATTAACGGGAGGCAGGCGTACAAGAAAACGCGCATAAAAGAAAAGAAAGAAGACGAGCTAAGGAAAGGAACAGCGAGCGTATAAGGAAGGTTCTCTTACCAGTGCTGCGGCGCAGTTAGTTAATGGCTGGTCGGGGAAAAGCCGGCTCCTCTTTAACGACCACTTGGGGAAGCGGCCCAGGTTTGGGTTCCCACTAATTGCGCGCTCATTGCGTCCCCCCCGCCGACGGTTGCCGGGCAGCGCCGAGCCCCTCCTCCCCGCGGCTGCGCTGGCTGCGTTGTCTCGGACGCCGTAAGGTGTCGCCTTCTTTTAATTGCTGGCAACTACGACGTCTTTAAACGCCAGTGCATATACCCTGGGCGAAAAGCGGTATATTACGAGTATACTAATTTTGTGATGTTTCGAAGGAAAAAGAAAGAGCTAATTTGAGGGGGGAAGGGGAGGTCATTTTATAGAGTGGAACCATTTACTTCACCAAATTGCGGCAACTCATGCCCCGACTTCTTTCACGAATGCTCTTTATTGTGTTTTGCTCTCCGAGGAACCATAATTGTCGTCTGTCCATTTTGCCATTATGTTCTCCGAACTTTTCTTTTCTCCCTGTTTTTTTTTTTGTTTTTTTTTGTATGTCGCATGGCTTTCAGGTTTGAATAAATTAACGGACACATCGGTATACTGCGGTATTCTTTACAATATCCTAAGTTATACCTTTAACGCACTCTTAGTGTACTTGTTTATATTAGTTGTGCTCCGGCCGCTAACACAGTCAAGCCAATTATAAGTGTAAGCACTCGAAGAGTTTATATGCACTCTCAAGAAAAAAGGGTGTCAAAAGGTGTATTCTTATACTTTTTGACCCATATATAATACACCCCAAAACTTCAATTCGACGTACAGCGCCCTACAGTCGAACAGACGGGCCCAAATTATTCGGGAGGCTCGATAGCCGTGTGGCACAACTTATTAAAATAGCTAAACTACGTATCAAAGACTACATGAAGAAAACCCCGAGTTTTTACGGTAGGGCCAAGGAAACCCCGAATATTTTTCTTGTTGCCAGTAAAACGTACATTAGCTATTTTAATAAGTTGTACCACACGGCTATCAAGCCCCTCGTAAACTTTCGGGGCGTCTGTTTGACTGTAGTGCGCTGTACGTCGAATTGAAGTTTTGGGGTGTATTATATATGGGTCAAAAAGTATAAGAATACACCTTTTGACACCCTTTTTCTTGAGAGTATATATATATATATATATATATATATATATATATATATATACGGTAACTGACGAAAAAGTACGAAATTGGTCTAATTTCCTTGTATCGCTTTCCGCCAAGGCTCATCTCTCCCTCGTACGCGCGGCGGCGAACGTGGACTAGCTCATCTCGGGCCCTAGCTAAAGCTTGGTCTCTGTATAACTTGGCGTTCCTATAGTTTCGCTCGAGTTGATTTCGAGACACGGGCGAGCGGAGTCTGTCGGCTCCCTCTCGGCGACGGCTCGGTGTTCCGTCCCAATCGGCGGCGCCGATCTAAATGGGCCGACGGCCTGGATGCGCAGCTCGCGCGGCGAGCTCCGGCCGATTGCCCAATTCCCGTTTTCATTTCAGTACGAAATCGATTGTCTCGTTTGTTCGCGTACGCTTTTTCGGGAATTTCCATTTGCCGCTGCAGCGCTCAGCTAAGCGGCCGCGTTTCGCCCCTGCGCGTCGTGCAGATTCGATCTCGGTTCGCGGCGCGTGCGAGCGGTTGTTAGTTACGCGGTCGGTCGGTTTCGGAACGACGTTTTTAATTAGGGCGGCGCACGAAGTTCCCGCGTGGACGGAATGGGCGATGCGCGAAGGCGAGTTAATTTGACCGGCGGGCGCTCCCCGTCAACTTCTTTTTAGTTTCTGTGCACCGAGAAAAGGAGGGAGAGGAGGAGACTAGAGCGCGCGTGGACGTCAGAACGCCGAGCTCTAATTCGAACGATTAGTCGGTAGACCTAAGCTACCTTTGTTTCCACTGCACTCGTGAAACGCGTTCGAATGCGAAAGCCAAACTACGGACGCCGGCGTTCTGCGTTCTAATGCGTTCGACGAGTGCAGTGACATAGCCTCCCATATATAGACCTTTCCAGCGGCAGTCTCGAACGAAGCGATTTACAGCGCGTGTCACTGGTTTTGAGAGTGCACGTCAGTGTTGCCCGACTGCGCTGAGCTGTGGAGCTTCTCGTCAGTGGGCTGTGGCAGCCTGCGTAGGCGCAATTCCGGACGCTAATGGGGCTGAATTGCCGCGTTTTCTTTTTTATCTTGTGTTCTGTGGCGAACATAACTTATAGAGGTCTTTAAGAAAGCAGTGCTCTATTTTTAGGAACAAAAACAAAGAAATGAAACCTGTTTTGGTGAGTCCGTGCGCGACAGAACAAATGCAACTGGAATGTTTGTTTCATTTTATGTTCGTTGTTTTACGGCACCGTACACTCAGCCGTGTCAGTCTATAAAGGTCAAAATATTTGACCACACAGGATATCCGTACTGCATGGATATTCTCGGCCCACAACATAAAATTCAATGAGTCTCATCAATCGAGCAAAAAATATATTGTACGTACCCCACGGTGCCGCGTTATCCGAACAGGATTTGAGAAAGGTCTCAAATAACACAGCATATCCAATATACAGTGTCGACGATAGTCACTTCACGACGACCGGACGGAATCCGCGTGTTTTCGGGAACATGTGGAAGGGAGCCCCCTTTTTTTGCACAGCTTCATAGCAAATGAACGAACGTGCTTATTCCGTCGCCACACCCCGGATTCGACCCTATCAGCTAGTTTTTGCGAAGACCCGGAACACAGCCTGGAAGGCTTTTTGGAGATTATCTCGACGGAAATAATCCTCCAAGCACGTCGACCTGCCTGCGTCGCGGGCTGTTTGACGTTCGCTCTCTTGGTTCGTTTCCTGCGAAGGCCGAGCGGGCCACGAGCCCTGGTATTCCCTGGTTCTCACAGTGGAAGATAACATACAAAGGGTAAGCATCCTAAACAGGCGAATAAAGCAAAAACTTCCAAGAAAAGCCGCCGAACTCCGAATGCAAAAATGCAGGTGGGGAGTCACGCTGACCGGGCTTCCACAGCTCAGGCGGGTTCTGGCTAATAGGGGTCGCTCGATTCGCAAAATGGCGGCGGCCAGAGCGTTCTTTTTGCAAAGGTCTATTAGCCCCGAGAAGTTCGCGTGGCGCCCCCTTACGGCGAACCGGGGTGACGTCACGGCGAGGAGAGAATTTTTCCCCGACTCGGCCCGCTCGCCCTGTGGAGGCTGTGACGACGCTAGCTGACGGCGCTCTCGTTTCTATTTAATTTTTTTGGGCGTGTTTTTTGTAGGAAGTGTAAATTTTTATATGAGCCTATATTGAGGTATGGGCCTGTAGCTACAGGCGAAACTTCAACCAACATTTTAAGCATGGTTGACAGGGCAGGCAACGCATGAATCACAGCTGGTATATGAAAATAAAGAAATATTGCCACAATTGCAGGAGCATCACTATAGATTTACATTTTGCACAATAAATGCTGCTGATAGTCTGAATGAATTGGCAGGTTATGTATATTATTTTTTTTTGTATCTGTTTTTTAACAAGATCGCCGAAGCAGAAAAGCTGCATGCTGCTCGAGCAACATGTTAAATACAGTCTGGGCCATGAAGAGAGAATTACAAGTAAGACAGCCCAAGTGCAGGGGCAAAGTTAAAAAACAAAAAAAAAAAAAAACAAGGAACATTTATTATATACATTGCTCGGATTTGACCTTTGCTGGATTCGGATAGTATTTCAATGGACTACACGGGTGGTATCTGTGGACTTGTTTATATCAACCCTCAAGTAATGTATAACAAACGTAAGCGAAGGTGTCTAGCTCGTTATTAGCCCCTTAAGCCCTAAAATTGAAATTTTACTTAAATCGAATTGTCCTGAAGCTAAAATACCAGAAGCTTTTCTCACGCTGACTGTCGCCTTTCACAGGTTCCACATTTTCTGCTGCTAGTGCTGCATCTACCACTGGACAGACGTTCGAATGCTTGCTTTTACTCCTGTTGCAGCAGTGTCCCTTTTAATTGGAAATGACAATTCAGACTAAACGGTGTATTTTCAGAATACCCAAGGCTGGAATAAAGAATGTCAGGAAAAAGTATAAACATTGCATATTACGGCACTATTGCAGTGCATAGTTTGGCAGTTCAATACATATCATACAGACAACTGGGGGCAATTCGGCCTTTTTTGCTGCTACCATACAAACTAATTTCCAGTAATTGTGCAGCTTCTAAGAAATATGCCTGCATGCGTGTGTATA